ACAAGCGTATTCGAAATAATTATGGATAATGACTGCTTTCAATTGAATAAACATCGTTACTTGCTTTTTAATAAAAGAAAAATCAGCTGAATTGAATTAATGTAGTATAATTATTTATATTTATACAGTGATGTAAATCTGATTTTATATTATTATTTAATATATATATATATATATATATATACATATCTGTTTTATATAAATAATTATTGTTATTATTGTTATTTCCATTACCTATTATTTTTTAAAAATTGTGTGAATTGTTTCTTTAACTTTGCAAATCTATGAGATGACGATAAAAAGTTATATTGATAGACATTAATTGAGCTTAAAAGACTTAGGGTAAGCTTCATTTATTTGACGTCATAGAATTCCGAATTAATATTGCATTTCATTAAAAACAAAGTATTTTAAAACGTAGAAAGCTTAAAACAGTTTGAAAAAAAAATGGTATTCGAGTGCAAGTACCACTCTATATGGCTGAAACGAAAGCTGCAAAGCCTGTAGAATGTGAAAAAAAAATATTGGGAAAGCGGACCGCCAAACGCAATGACGATTCGACTTTTAAGTACTTTGAACGGGCCACGTGCACCGCTTTCGATTTCATGACATTGCGTCATCGGTTTACTTTACTTGCATCGACACACTTCGAAATTTTAATTCTACGAATTTTTAGCTCGATCCTGGCGCTATTGCAACATACGTCATCCAGTTTTTTATTTGACATCCCACTGCTTCAATAAAATCTACAACTTAAACGATTAACTAGAATTTCACGCTTGAAAAGGTGAAACCATCGTATAAAATGTATTTATTTTAGAAAATCAGACCAATTATTTTGACGAGAATAATGGTTACTAAGTTGCGCTTTCGAAATAACACCGCCCAAGAAAAGCTTTTGTTTTGATACATATTATAGTTAATATTAAACAACGAAAGACGCAGTGTAAAATGTACGAAAGTAAAGCTGAATAATGAAAGGGTTTGTATAAAGCTTAGATGAATAAATTAGTTTCTTATTCTTCTTGTTCGAATACCGCCGACGAAATTTCTACTCTGTCAACAATGTCTAGCGTTACAGCTTCTTCAAGGGAAGACGTTCTTTGTTCCATCTTACACCATTATTTCATTAGTCATTCCTTTTCTTTTTGAAACAGGCTTCCAGAAAAACTGAATGATATACAAGAAACAAAGATGGATAAACTTTAGGCTACCGGAAAGCGACCAGTAATGTAAAATTACAACATCGCGTCTTTCATTATTCTCTTAAACAAAATATCGCGAAATACATTTGTGATTTTGTACATATTAATATGCACGAATTATTTATAATATTTGATAACATTTTATAGCTTTTTTTTTACAATAAATTATTATTATACCTGTCATGAATATTTTGTTAGAGTCGTCAAATATGTATGTTAAAAATAATTCGAGAATACAATTAATTTCAACAATAAATCTCGCACGTGAATCTTCAATTCGCGATTGTTTATTTGATTTACAATCGGACATAAAAAATTTCTGTGGAAATCGAATTACATCGACGGCTTGTCGATATTTATTTTGATTTGTTCACATTGTTGCTAATTGATTATGTAATTTTGGGAATTACATAATGAATTTACAAACTCCCGTGACAAAAAGAGTAAAATTTTGAACGATTTATATCGTCAAGAAGCATGTGGCAATAATTTCGTGTAAGTTGGTAAAGTTCTCGTGGTTGCAGCATGAGATGAATGGAAAACGAGGATAGCAAGTTTTAGCCTTTAAGACGGAGGGTGCGCGTAATAATTTCTGATCCCTCGACTTGGCAACAACTTAGTCGCCATCTCTGGTTACCTAACTCTATCCGTAGGAAGCATTGAGGTTGATATATGTACATTGTTATAATTTCGTGTGTCGCGTCAAAACCAAGTTTATCATTTTCGTTTTCGCTAATACGAAAGCACGGTATATGGAACATTATTAAGAGTTACAATAAACGCGGAAACCGGATAGAATATTTCATTGAAACAAGTCGGGGATTATTGACTATCGGAATAGATACAAAAAATTAAAAATAAGTCGTCGACTAAGTGCTTCGAAAGCGAAGTGCTAGCAGCAGAGTTATTTCTAAAATTGGGATCATTTAAGGAACTGGGAAGTGCATCCGGAAACTGAACGCATGATATTAAAAGAAGGAAGCCGTTCATTAATGTAACAAATAGAAGCGAAGAGAGAAAAGAGACTCAAAGAGAGAAAATGGAGTTTAAAGTAAAATATAGATTTAAGAAAAAGGAATGACGAAAATGTTATTTCTGCGAATAAAAACATGTTTGATATCTTTGGAAGTAATGAGATGAATTAAAATCAATTTAGCATAAGACACTTGCACGAACAATTAAATCTTGGAAACAATGTCTACAAACAATAAGATACGAATAATAAGATACTAATAATTGTTTACTTGAAGAAGAAGCGTAACATTAGCTTTGCATGCTAAAAAAGAAAAAATTATTTATGCATTAATTTTTCTGCATTAAAAATTATTTAATATAAATATAAAATAAATATATTGTATAATATAAAATAAATAATAATCTATTGTATTTAAATAACTTCAAATTATCTGATTAAACATTTTTAAATCTTATAATATTTTAACCTTTCTCTCTAAACATTTTTTAAATCTTATATCATATAATTAATTACATACTCTCCTTAAAATTTTTTTTATGTAAATTCACAAATTCTGCATATATGGAAGAATATATAATTCCTTTTTAAAAATAAGTGCACGATATTATGTAATCGATTTTATTCTTGGAAGAATTAAGTATATATTCATTATATATTTATTACATCTCGTTCCGCTTGAAGTTGAAATACTCTTTTAAAATACAGGATATTCCTTTGCGGATTTTGCCTGGTCTTTTAAGAGAGATTTCTTTAATCGTCGTAGAGTCCGACTGAAAAGCACCTAAAATTGAATTATATACTTTTATTCTCAAAAGTTCAGGGATTACGCGGATGAACAGATTGTAGTGGAAACTAAAATTCACATTCGACGAGAATAAAAATTCGTATTTCTCGACGAGAGCTTCGCGGTGTCGTGGTCGCTTATAAATTGTTTTACAATTACTGCGGTGATTACGAGTATGATAGCGATTTAAGCAGAGAGGCAATTTTTCGAAACGTATTCGTGCAATTTTCTACTTTTAATTAACTGATATAGCGCAAACGTTAGTTTTTATATCATATCTGTGATACGCAGTTCGATTATGTTATTTTTATAATGTCTTGGAATTTGGATGACAGATTAAAACTTGTAGTTTGTTACGAAAATATTGTGAAATATTTTTGCCGTCGAAAAATACGAAGATGATTTAACTCGCTATATTATGTGTTACAGGGATGTGCTGAG